GGGGGGGGGTGGGGGGGGGGGGGGGGGCAGCCCCCAGAGCTGGGAGTGGGCAGGGCTGGGGCTGCACCGTGCTGCACTCTGAGCGGACGGTGGGGACTATGGGGGGGTCTACGGTGAATTTTCTGGTGGCTGCAGTCCCCCCACGGCCCCCGCTCTGCCATCCAACCCACCCTAATCCGGAGGCACACGCCCCTCCAATGCCTCCTGCTGCTCACCCAGCTGGGATGGGGCAGGCACGGGACAGAGCTGCAGCTCATCTGTGGGGCTTGGGGGCGGCTCCCACCACTGTGGACCGCTTGTCTAGAGGCAGTGCAGCAAATCCATCCTGTGCCTGCCCCGCTCCAGCAGGGTGAGTGACAGCAGCGCCTGCCTGGAGCACAGCACGGTGCAGCCCTGGCCTCACCTGCCTCACGCAGATCCGGGGACACATGCCCCTCCCTCCCCCCAAGCCCAACTGGATGAGTGGTGAGAGCCACCAGGAACAGCTCCTGAACTAGCAGTGCCTAGCAGCGGGAGCCGCCTCCACTCTCCACACCCCTTGGATGAGCCACACCTTTGTCCCGTGCCCCCCGACCCTGACTGGGCAGTGCTCGCCCCACCTGCCGTCCCAGCTCCAATCCTTCCTTCACTGCAGGGGTGTTGATCTGCACCCCCCCACATGCCCCTTCTCTCCTCCTCCTCCATTCCCCACTTACAGCTGCGTCCAGCTGGCAAGTCTGGATCCAGCATCGTAAAGTTGAAACCCATGTTGAAACCTCAAAACATGGTGTTAATTTATAAAGGTCGTAAATACCATTTGTTGTACCTCAAAAAGTCATAAGTCGAGGACTGCCTGTACTGGGCTGCATTACTAGGAGCATTGCCAGCAGAGTGAGGGAAGTGATTACACCCCTCTATTTGCCACTGGTGAGGCCAAACCTGGGGTACTGTGCCCAGTTCTGCACCCTCGGCTACAGAAAGGATGTAGACAAATTGGAGAGTCCAGAGGAGGGCACAGAAAATTGTTAGGTGGCTGGGGCACATGACTTCTGAGGAGAGGCTGATAGATCTGGTCTTATTTAATCTGGAGAAAACAAGATTTTTGTGGGGGTCAGACTTGATGATCTATGGGGGTCAGACTCGATGATCTATTGAGGTCCCTTCCGACCCTAACATCTATGAATAAGATTGAGGGGGGATTTAATAGCAGCCTTCAATTACTTGAAGTGGGGCTTGAAAGAGGATGGAGCTAGCCTGTTCTCACTGATGGCAGATGACAGAACACAGAGCAATTGTCTCAAGGTGTAGCAAGGCAAGTTTAGTTTATATATTAGGAAAAACTGTCTTACTAGGAGGCTAGTAAAGCACTGGAACAGGTTTACTAGCCTCCTCCACAGAGATGTTGTGGAATCTCCATCCTCAGAGGTTAATACCCAACTAGACAAAGCCTTGGCTGCAGTGATCTAGTTTGGGACAGTCCTGCTTTGGGACTTTAGATGACCTCCTGAGGTTCCTTCCAAACCTAATTTTCTATGATTCTATGATTTACTGCAAGGCTGTCTAATATCTAAAGACCCCTCCAGCCACAAGCTGTGTGGCCCCTGGTCAGAAGCTGCATGGGCACCATGTCCCTACACTGCATGCCATGCCAGCTGTATGTTGTCACACACATGTTCTTACCCTCCACCATGGCTGCACCATGTCACTGCTTCTTTGCCATGCTGTGTGGACCCCTCAAACTCCCTGGGCCATGGGATCTTTCAGACCTGTGGGCTATGCCATGTTGCCCTGACCCCCAGAAGCAGGGGCAGGAAATGAAAGCTGGAGGAGGGAGGAAGCTTAGAGTCTGACAGCCAGAGGTGACCCAAGCAGGGTGCGGGGCCCGGGGCAAATCAGCCCATGTGGGGCCCCGCCCCCGTTCTGATCCTGGACACAAAGAAGCTGCTGCTGCCATCAGTGGCAGCAGAGGCGGGGGTAGCAAGGGGCTAGACACGGAGCTGCTGGTCTGGCCAGCTCTGTGCTGCTGCTGCTCTGCAGGGCTCCCAAAGCACAGGGCCCAGGGCAGCTGCCCCGATTCACTCCCCCCTAGGGACCGCCCTGCTGATGGCATCATCAGGAAGGAGTAGCATCCAGACTGGGAGCCAGGGGGCTGCAGGTTTACCCCACAGGGCTGGATGTGGCCTCCAGGCTACAGTTGGACAGTTCTTAGTGTAGAACTTGGGCAGTTTTTCTATAAATCTCTCCACTGCTCACCATTAAAGCTGAAACAACATGGTTTACCTAGCTTTTGCTTTCATTATCAATTGTCATCACATACCAAGGTGTAGCAGCTTTAGAATGAAAGCTCAAATCGGTACAGACAGAGGGCAATTAAAACCTGAAACACAATTAAAAAAATTGAACTCACATCTTCATATATGTCAAAGAAAGTTGCTATCACAGCATCTTTGATTTGGTTTAGATCTGAGAGCTCCCAAAAGATTTTAAACATACGACGTGCAGTCTTGCAGCTTGCGTTATCGCATGGGACATTCTCTAATAAAAAAGCTTGCTGATTGCTGTAAAAGAACAAGACATTTACCAATTTATTTCTTACAATCGTTATATACTGCTTCCTCTTTGTCTGCTAAACATCACATATATTTCACACCAACTATAACAGAATGAAACTAGCAATTGGAGGAAAATGAAAGTCACCAATGGCACTATTAAACATTGTAGACAAGGCAAGCATTATTGGGGGGGGGGGGGGAGCGGGAGGGCATTCTAAGTCAGTGAATTAAAAGAGGGAAAACAACCCATCCACCACACCACAGAGGTGACCCACTTCATAAAAAGTCCGCAGGAAAGGCCACTCATTTACTTTATCCCTGTGGCAGAACCAATTTAATCCTTAAATCAGCCTAATACAAAAGCAAGAATAAAAGCCTAAAATTTCAGTGTGGAAAGAATTATTGATATTTTTGTTATTACTTGGCTTAAAAAAAAGATGTTTTTTTCCAAAATTTTATAATAATTTATCTGAACACTACTGAAAATAATTAAATTACTGTAAAGAATATTTTAGGAATAAAGTAGCTAGGCTTTTTTATCTAAAGTTTAGGAGCATTTTGTCCCAGTGTAAGGTTAAGGTAATCTCAGTTCATTGTTATGCTTTTCATTATTGCTTTTAAGCAATAACCTTTTAAAACCAATGCTAGTCCAATGCTAAACCAATGCTAGACCTGCTAGGTATCCTAAGTGCCTAGCAGGTCTATCAGGGCTGCCAGGTGCAGGAGATCAGAGGCTCATGGTGAAGGGAGCTGAAAGACTTAGTCTCTGGTAGGGGGAGCAGAAGCTCTTATCCCATTAGGAGCTTCTGATTTTTTTTCCCCTCCCCTTTCCTTCATGGCGAGGCACTGGGTCCAGCTGGAGACAGGGGCCTGATGCCAACAGCCAATTGTTGGCACCAACCCTGGGAAAGCCCCCAATTGGTTGGAGACTGGGGTGCCCCCAGCTAGTGCTGACAATATTGTCACAGATAGGTTGGATATGGGTTGATTCAGACAATCAGCTGATTATCAGGCATCAGCCCTGGAGAGCCCCAGTGTGTGGACATGCCACACCTTCAGTTTAAGGTGCCATACAAACCAGCCAGTGCATTATATTTAGAACACTTGTTTATGGCTGGCTTACCATTTTATGGAACCTTAAATTGGGAACTTGTGTAGCAACCTTCCCATTTAAGCTATGATTAACATGTTAATTGTGGCATAAATATAATGGGTTGAGGGGCCCTAGTGGGACTACTCATGGTAGTGAACTTAAGTCTATATGGATTTGCATCATTGGATTCTTATTTTATATTCATGTTACTGGAGAAATTTATATATCTGTTTTGTATTAGACACCTGTGATACAGGAAAATCAGTAATATTGTGAAATGAGATTTCAGAGGGGCTGTTAAATTTAACAGTGGTAGACTTTAAGCCACATACTGATTTAAGGATTCTTGGAAATCTTGCTGCTTTGCCTTTGCCCTGAGAGAGACTCAACAACTGAATGTTTTTTCTTTTTATCTCCTAAATAGTTTTCTGCTTTTATGCTTCTTAGTTTTCAACATTCATATCAGATTGTCCTTTCACTATATGTTTATTTGTGTCAGTCTCCGCCAGCTGGTTTTGCCATACCCTTCTCAGTGCCATTTTATTATTAATAGCCATTCTTTCCATTTCTTTTTTTTCACAATTGAATCTCCATTATAATTTGTCCATGTTGCAAGTTTCTGATAAATTTGCTTGGGAAGGGACCATCTTTTAGACTATGTGCTCTAAAAAAATCAAATCCATTCAACCCAGGAAGGAAAACTACATGTAACAGGTTTTCTTTGTTTGATGGTATACATGGAAGCAATAGTTCAGACTTTTCGTAGCATTGTACCCTGTGCTTATGATGCAATTCAAAACTGGAAATATTATGTAAGTATATTAAACTTAGAACCTAGTATTTTCAGGAAATGACAAAATGAAACATTATAATTTAGTACTAAATCAGAAGATATCATCTTGGCAAAACTTCCTGCAAAGTAACTAGCGTCCATTTACATCAAAAGATGATGAAAAAGATAAATTGAAAAATGTGTTGAACTTGAGCTGTTTCACTTTATCACATATTAGCATACATAACCTGACAAGGTAATAATGATATAGAGCAAAGAAACTATAATATGCTGGTTTTTTATGATAATGAGATCTGGTATTAGGTTCAAACAGTACAATGGCAGAAAGCCTGTATGTGTAATGAAATCATCTGATGTGTGCTGAATGATAATTTAGGAATGTTCATGGCTCTTTTTTAAAAGAAAAAATCAAAACAACACAGTTGTTAAAAAGAGGCTGGTAGCTTACAAAAGCTTTATTAAAATATGCAGCAGAGCAAGAAACTAAGGGCCAAACTATACATTTTGTACAGGAAGGATCAATGTAGGGAAGAAGTATATTTGTACAATATAGTTGAAAGCACAGTGCAAATTATCAGGTGAAGTAATACTGCTGTTCCATTGTGGCTTTTTTTTCTTTTGTTTCCTCTTTCTCCTTTTTGGAAAGCAGGCAAAATAGGGTAAGCAGGAAGCCACAAGAGGCAGGGAGCTCTTCCAATACTGTTTCAGGTTCCAGAGAAATGCGTCTTTGGTAGCCTTGATATCTTCCAAAACCCAGTGAAGACATCTCTGCAGATTGTTGAGATTCAGGATATTGGACCTTTTTTGCAGATCATGGGCCCTTCAAGGGGACATCCAAAAAAGTCTGTCAACCCTCAGTCCATACTTGAAGAGACTTGGACTGTCCCATTCCAGTTTAAGTGGATAGGTCATTCTTAAGTCATTGTCAGACCTGTTTGTGACTTCTTCCTTTCCAGGAAGAAGGATATGGGATTACTCTTCTTTCTCCATACAGTTGATGCAGCAGTGGCATCCCTGGCAAAAGGGATTAATTATTCCTACCAGGAGGGAATTTCTCTTAAATAAATCACAGACAGATAGACAGATGAAGCTTTTCTAAAACTTTTTCAGCAACCTCTGGAGCCTTTTTTGATAACCATGTGCTTTGATAGAGTCAGGTATCATGGTGGAACCCAAAAGGCCTTCTAGAATCAGAATAAATGCATGTCAAATAGGTGTTCTAGTGCTGAAAATTCCTGAGCGATTTCCACCACTAGAAATCTTTCCAGGAGAGGGAGCAGTGTAGGCATCGAGCTTGCAACTGCCTCTGTTCCCCAGCTCTCCATGCCTTCTGCAGACTGGGGTTATTCCGGTCTGGGAAAGGCATGGGGGCAGCATCTGCTCCAGGCTTCTCCCAGAGGGCATGGGACAGCCTGCTTACTCCGTCGCTCTGCTTCTGGTGACAGGAGCAAAGAGTGGAGGAGCAGCCATTCTTGCCCCCTTCCCCTTTGGACTGGGGTCCCTGATCTGGGGAGCACATGAGAGTTGCCCAATATCTCCAGCCTCCTTCCAGAGTGGTCTGGAGGGGGAAGAAACAGTGGGACAGAGCCCTCAGCCGCTTTTCCATACTGAGCAGTTCCCAGTCTAGGAAAAAGGTTGGAAGCATTGCCCCACTGCTCCTCTGCAGGAACAGATTAGGAGGGGAGCATACAAACATTCATTCTTGCAAGACTGTTTCTCCAGGCTGACATGTGGAAGGTCCTTCTCCCAGAGGGGACATGTTTACCCAGGGAGAAAGTGAGTGGTCCTTTTATGCTTGTAGTTTCTACTGGGAGTGCAGCGATTCTCCCACTAAAATATAATGCCTGTATGGAGCCCCCCAAAAATCCTTAATTAAGGAGCAAGATCAACCCAGTTGCATCAAGAAGCTATCTGTCCATGGACTGTGATGATAAAACATGGTATTGAACTTTTCTCAGTATGGTAGATGACCATTAAGGAGACCATTCACAATCCAGTCAACAGTGTTTGGGTAAAAGGACTATACTTCACATCATGCTTGAAAAATAGGACTTTTCTTGCACATTGTTTGCAACATTAGCAAGCAAGAGATGTCATCCGTTTTGCTTTGGCTTGCCTGTCAATGGCCCCCAATTTTGGAAAGAAAAAATGAAAAAAGAAAAAAAAAAAAGAGAATGAAGGGAAAGGCCTCTCTGTATTTGCTTAAATCTTTTGAATGATGATATACTGCCAAGTGGGTAGCTCAGATTTTCACAAGTTGCAACTTCACAAGTATGCTGTATTTTTCTTGGTATAGATTAACAGATGTTTTAAATCTAATAATCCTTTATTTCTTATTTACAGTTTTGCAGCTCCCTTCACCATGAGCCTCTGATCTCCTGCACCTGGCAGCCCTGCTAGACCTGCTAGGCACTTAGGATAAAGTCTTTGTGGGGAAAGCCCTTTGGCTCCCTCCATCAGGGCCAGCGGTGAGTTGACTGGTGGCCCAGACAGCTCTGGGTAAATCTGACACAGGACCGGTAGTCTTGAACTTGTCCTGGGCTGTTCTGGGGCAGGCTGACAATCAGCTGACCATCTGCTCTGGCCCTGGGACTGTCCTGGGTCATACTAGGATGCAGGCACCTAACTTTCAATTTGATTGTGTATGGCAGCCCAGGCAGGATCATGATTCCCAGCTCCCCTGCAGTGGCAAATAGAAAGGGCATTGTAGCAAACCCCGCAGTTTTTCTTTTTTTAATTTATTTAAAAATACATTCCCTCCCCTTCCTCTAACCATTTCTGACTTTCTCTCTGCCCTCTCTATCCCTTATAAGTGATTACAAGTAATACTAGGTAAGCTAAGTTCTTGTATACTATTATTGTAATAAGCCCCTTTTTATACTGTAAATAGTGTTCTGTTATGTTTGTATTCACAGTAGCTAGGGCCAGGAGGGACCTGAACAGATCATCTAGCCTGACCCCCTGCTACAGGCAGGAATGAATGCTGGGTTCACAAGACCCCAGACAGGTGATCATCCAACCTCCTCTTGAATATGCCCAATATAGGGGCGAGGACCACTTCCTTGGGAAGTTGGTTCCAGATTTTGGCCACCCTAACTGTAAAATATTGCCTTCTGATCT